AGAAAGGGACATACCAGGCCCCCGGAACAACCTCGAGGGGAAGAACTGCCTTGCAGGTTCCTTTCTTGTCCTGGTGGCTCCGGAAGGGACATATTGGGCCCCCGGGGCAGCCCTGTGTGAGGAAGAACTGCTTTGCAAGTTCCTCTCTTGTCCCATGACCTTGTAACAGACTGGGCACATCCCGGTGGCTCCCAACACCATGTGGAGGGACTGACACCCCTCATGACTTCTTGACTTGCATTATAACTAGAGATAGGGCCTTACCCTATATCATGTGTTCTCAACAGGGGCCATATTGCCCCAGAGAGGATGAAAATTGGTTTGGAGTAGAGCGGGCACTTTAGATATTCCAATAATTTCTGACCTTCCAAAGAACCACAGAACATACACAGATATATAGGACATCTGTATAAGGAAGAAGTAAAATGATCTCTATTTGCAGATGACATAATTTTGTATATAGAAAATCCTAAGGAATCAAGTATTAAAATTTCATGGGAGGGAGTCTCAACTAGGAAAAAACATTGTCTAAAAAGTCTCCTTGGGTGAGTGAGGGGAGGTGGGCAATAATGGGGAAAGAAGTTGGAGAAGCAGTGTCCTTAAAGAAAAAAATAAAATTAGGATAAGTTCAAATTCTGGGACCCTGGGACCAGAAGGTTTTGGGGTGAGTTTTCTGGGCCCTGCATCTTGCATCGTGTGAGATCGAACAGCCCAGGAGGGCACCGGAAGGAAAGGGTGGAAACCACCACCCAAAGGCATGGCAATGCCCCTGGCAGTGTGGGCTACAGAAGGCTCCAGCATAGACACAGCCTCCCTGTGGGGCAAATCCCAACTCTGCCACATTCAAGTTCAATGACCTGGAGCCAGGTACTCAACCTTCCTGCCCTAGCCCCCATCCCAGGTCCAGAAAAGAATGAGGATGATAATGTAACTGCATACAGTGTCTGGGGAGATTAGATGAGCCTCGCTCTGCTGAGTGAGAAAAGAGTGTCCAGCACGTAATTACCTTTCAGTCATGTTACTTTGGAGCTTTAGTCACCTGACTGTCCCAGGCACTCACACCTGGATGGTCACTGTGTCCTTTCCTGGGTTCAGTGAGCTCAGGTGGAATCTCTGCTGGATGCTTCTAGAAGAGGATGACTACACTTAGCCACCAAACACGGATACGACTTAGCAACAGAACAACAGCAAACGCAGTATTTCCCCAAATTAAGTCTTCCACTTCCACTGTCACAAGTTTTGCTGTTCCTGTGTTCCTTCTGAGCTTGTAGTTACTTCATAGCTGTCCTTAAATCAGACCTGGAAAGAATACTCTTTTAGCATCATTCTGAGCAGCCAGATTCCAGAAATCAGGGCATTGATAGGCTGGTTATACAGTTTCTGATAGATGTTAAAATAAATACAAAGTTGTCAACACGTTAAAAATGTTTCTCCATGCACCATCTACTTAAAGATACCTGCCATGCCACCGGCGGTACGCGTGGCGATTGGGAAAAGATGCTGCCACCCAGACCTTGAGCCCACGTCCCGCCCCCCTCCACCCCTCCCCCCCTCCCCCCCCATCCGCGAGGAGCCACAGCCTCAGCAGCGGGCTCGGTGGGGCTGCATCGCCCTCTGCTGGCCGGTCTGGGAGCCGCTCCAGCTCGGCTCCCCTTCCATCTGGGCGAGATCCACAAGGGGCGACTCTCTCCGACTGGACGTTTGGTGTCACTAGCGGTGTAGTTTTCCTTCGTTGTGAGGCGTGAAGAGAAGTGAGAAAGGACCCCTTGCTCCAGGTGCAGGGGCTGGGGCACGGGACCGGCCAGGGCTGGATGAGGGGAGGGTGCAGCTCGGGGAGACAGCAACGCCCGGCGGTGAAGCAGCGGCTTGGGAGTTGTGCAGACTTTTATCTGCACAACCAGGGCAAGGTTGAGGTGAAAGTGGACTTGCCGGTGACCTTCCTAGGGGTGTCAGTGAGCTGGCTGTCACGGGAAGGCTGTTTTCGGCTCCAAGTCTGTGTGGTTGAAACCTCCCATCTGGGTGTTCAGGGGGCACAATGCCACTCACCTGCTCAACCTCTCCAAGGCAGACTCCCTGGCTCTCCTTCCTGGGACCCAGGACCAGCACACCCCCACCCCCACCCCACCCCCTAGCTGACTGCTCCATCCCAGAGCTTGTTCTTCATCCCCCTGAAGGCAAGCCCAAGTCCTTTGCTTACTAAGATCCAATATCTGTTTTTTTCTATTGTTTATAAAGCAATAACACCGTCGTCTTGTTTGTCGGTAAGATAAGATCTTACATTTGTGTGATTCTTCCTACATTAAAAGGCTATTTTCACAAACGTCTCCTTACTGGTTCACACAAGATCCTATGAGGTAAAAAACGACCCATCTTATACCATTTTACAGAATTGGAGCCTGAACATCAGTGAGCTTGATGCACCAGACCACAGTCACAGGCTACTGAGTGAGGGCTGAAACTCAGTGCCCTGACTTCTGGCCCAGCAAGCTTGTGGTTCATTGACACAGATAAACCCGAGACTGATCCAGAGATTCAAAGCACAGGAGAAGTATTTGGATTTGCCATTAGAGACTTGGGCTTCCTAGGTGGCACTAGTGGTAAAGAACCTGCCTGCCAATGCAGGAGATGCAAGAGACACAGATTCGATCTCTGGGCCGGGAAGATAGCCTGGAGAAAGCAATGGCAACCCACTCCAGTATTCTTGCCTGGAAAGTTCCATGGTCAGAGGAGCCTGGCAGGTTACAGTTTATGGGGCCACAAAAAGTTGGACATGACTAAGTGAGACAGGTAGGTGAGGCTAAGGATGGAGGCGCTGATCAAATCACATTACCTGGCTCCTCACCCAGGCCAGGGGGGCACTAATTCCTACAGCACCTGTGCCAAGGGAGCCCCTGCGGGCACTAATGAGAACTCCCCCTGAGACAGCCAGGGCACAACGTTACCCAGCAGGAGACAGACATAAAGTTCCTTCGGTCCCTGATCTCTGGTCCATGACTCCCCCTAGGGGGTGATTCTTGAAACCGGCGCTTCTTTCCCTCCACGTGGTTACCCCCCTTGGAGATGATCCCAGACAGGTCCACCCTGGTCTCCCCACTTAGAACGGGGGCTCATATCCTAGAGACCCTCAGCACTGAGCAACGAGGGGTTCTCAGCTCTGCTGAATCCTGAAAGACCCCCCTCACAAAGAACAGCTGTGCCAGCAAGCTCCCCCTTCACCAGGCAAGAGACTGCTCAGGACTCCTGGGGTGGGATGGGCAGAGTCTGTGATTGGTGCACCAGGCTTTGAAGAGTCACATCTTTATTAAAGGCTAGGACAGTGGTGAGAGCTGAACAGTCCTTTGCTATAACACCTGTGATCAACTCCATCTGAAGGGAGAAAGCCTTGTGGGACTGGGCTTGGAGCTGGAAATCAGCAGGCTCAGTCTTGGGGTGGGGCTGGGGGGAAGATGTGGTGAGAAGGGGACCAAGTCCTGCCCTCCTGCTGCCAAGATGGTCATCATAGACAGACTGAGGCTCCAGCCCCCTCCTCTCCTCACCCAAGCCACCGGTTTTACTGAGCTTCAGAGCCAGCGCCTACTTTTAAGTCGGAATCTGATTTTAAATGCATCAGAGTTCGCTGTTAGAGCCAGCACTCTCACATGGCAACAAGTTCCTACATGATCCCTCTGTGGGTCTTCAGGGTCCCCAATGGATGGGGAGGGGGGTGCAGGCACACAGCCTTCACCCATGTGAAAGCTGAGGCCATGGGGATGTCCCCAGGATCGGGGCGTCAAGGAAGAGGGATGGCAGAGGGGAAGGGGCAGTGGTTCCGCTGGTCAGACAAGACCACCTGCCTGTGTTCCACACAAGTTTGGGGGCCTTAGTTAGCTTAGGGTTGGGGCCATGGGCTCAAGAATGAAAACCTCCTTGACCACGGCCCCAGAGGCCTGCTGTTCATTCCTAAACCCCCAGAACGGCGGGGCCAGATGGGAGCTCTGGGACCGGGCAGGCTAACCAGCCCATTTTACAGGTGGGGACGTGGGGGCTCAGGAAGGGGCCCTTTCCTGGGTTCCACTCAGTGCACACAGTTAGGGCCAGGACTCTGCTGCTCCACACTGCTTCTCCTGGGAAGGCAGTCTATCAGAGCAATGGCGCTGAAACTTGGCGGGCCTCAGAATCATCTGGAGAACCTGCTAAAGCAGCCTGCTGGGCCCCACCCCAGAGACTCCTATGCTTCAGGTCCCCGGACTCCACTGAGATCAGTGCTGGGTTGGAGGTCACACCTCGGGAGGGCTTGGGGCAGGCTGGGGCAGTGCAGAGAGCGAGAAGGACCCAGTGTGGCCAGGAGGAGGGAAGCAGGCTCGGAAGGTCATGTCTGGAAGCAGGGAGCGGCGGGCCCCATCTCTGCTGAGAGGAGGCCCTCTGGGGGTCAAAGTGCTCCAGAGGGGACGTGAACTGGGCTGGCCTCCGGGCAGTCAAAGGCTAGAAGAACCCAAAGCCCTCAGGGAAGGTTTGGTTTGAAAGGCACTTTCGTACCCATGGGGCCCCTGGTGTCATAGGCAGTGTCCGTGGGCGCTCTCAGCAGGCCCCCTGGGGCCATGCCAGGGCTCAGGGGGGAGCAGTAAGGACCCCTCTGGAAGCTGGAGCCGGTTGGCTGGGGCAATATGGGGGCTGCTTCTATAGCCCAGCAGCCAGGCCTTCTTCACCAGGGACCTCGCCCTGCCCCTGGTTCTGGCTCCTGGAGAGGGAGGCCCAGGGGGGTCTTTGGGCTAACTCACGGTGTTCCCAGGGCCGCCCAGGGATCTGGTGGCCCCCGGTGGGTGGTAGCTTGGCCTCAGAACCTTCTCTGTGGAATTTTTAGAGAAGTGGAATTTGGTCCCGGAGAAGGAGAACTGATTCTGGACCAAATGACAAGGGAGATAACGGGACCAGGACCTGGGAATGCTGCAGTGGGCAGGGGCGGGCTCAGGGACCCCATCTCTCTCTGTCCCCAGAGAGTCTGAGCCAGTCAGCCCCTCCCCTCAGGTCTGCTGCGTAGCCCTTTCTGCCAAGCTGTGGCCAGCCGGAGGGGCAGCGACGTCTCCTGCCCCTGCCGAGGCCGGCGCCCCCAGCAGGCCTTCAAAGTAGGTGCCCAGAGACTGCAGGTCGAGCGCAGGCTGGGCAGGGGGCGACGCGGGGGTCTGGAGGCTCAGGAAGCGGTTGTACTTCTTCAGGCCGCCCCGCGGGTCATGGTGGTGTGCGGTCAGCAGCTCTATGAAGGTGACCTTGTGGAGGGCCAGCAAGCGGGCCTCGGCCCAGGGCAGGACGGCCGCCCGCACCAGGGGCTGCAGGGATGAGAAACATTGCAGGCTGCCGAAGGGGTGGATGTGCGGGGCCAGCTGGGGGCCGGGGGACACCTCAAGGAGGCGGCACAGGTCACGCATGGTCAGCACGGCCGCTAGGGCGCTGCGTTCACTCATGTTTCTCGCCAGGTAGGTCTTGGCCAGGCTCTTGAGTTTGAAGCTGCTGGCCCCAGGCACGCACTCCCGGATGAGGGGCAGGGTGTCCAGGAAGCCCGAGATGGCCTTCTGGAACTCCCCCAGCATGTTCATCTCCTCCAGAGCCTGGAAGAAGTTGGGGAGACTGGGCCCCCACAGCTTATGGCAGGCCAGGATGGGCTGGCGCATGCTCGCCAAGAAGTGCAGGAAGTGCTGCAGTCCCACCTCCAGGGAGACGGCCTTGGAGCACACGTTGAGCACCTCGGGCTGGATGTACGCGCGGAAGTGGCTTTCCTGGTTCACGGCTGCCAGCTGGCTAATCTTCTGGGCTGGGCAGGAGAGAAGGGCAGCGTGAGGTCCCAAGGGCATGGTGGGGGGCACCGACCCCACCATCCAGAAACCCCACCTTGGGGCCTGATGGCAGGAATCAAACGTCAGCCTCAAACGCAGCTCTGACCCTGGCTCTGATAGGGATGGGGGTCAGAAGGGGAGGTGGGGTCGCCCTCCAAACCCCCTTCCTCCCCTGCCGGGACTCCCGCTCCCCCCTGCCCTGCCACCTTCCGGAGTTCACCAAACCCTTTCACTCCAGGTCCCTCCTGTCTTCTGCCAGCTTCCACCCACCTGCCCTAGGGACCACTCACTGCTTCAGCCTAGCCCTCCACTCCCTTTCCCCCCAACTGCCAACCCCATCAGTCACGTAGCTGAGGCCCTCAGCCGTCAGAGCGCTGGGTCAGACAGCACACCTGCCTGATCCACTCCATTCAGAGCATGGCCCCGAATCTTCCAGTGAGGTCTGCAAACGGCCTCCCTGTCCTACGAAATACTCTCTTCTTGTGTCCGCCTGGGCTGGCCGCACGCTGAGCCCAGGCAACTGGATGGGACCCTGCCTCCCGCAGGGCCAGGGTGAGCACTGCAGAGTTGAGGGAGAAGGGGTCACATCTCTCTGTGACCTTGGCTCTGTTGGCCTCCCCTCGCAGTGACCATGGAATGAATGGGCTCTGCACTCAGCCTAAGGCTGTGTTTGGATTGCTGGTGTCACCTTGGTGACTTTACCGTTGTGTTTCTATTTAGAAGTGTGTTCCCAAGGCTCCCTAGTGGAAGCACCAGTCATGGGGGACTCATGGAGGTGCTTGCCTCATGCCTTCAGCCCCTGATCAAAGCAGACATCCTTATTCAGAGAACCAAGTTCAAACACCTGCGAGGCCCCGGGGAGCTGTGGTGCTCTGCTCACTCTCTGGCTGCAACCACTGGCCACAGCTCAGGGTTCTCCCGGGCTCACAGATGGCTCTGCCTGCACTTATCCTGGGGACTTAGAGACTGAGCTAGAAAGGGGTGGGGGGTGGCCACTGGAGAACCCACTTTCATTGTCAATCTTGAGGTCAAAGAAAACCAGGGGCTTGTCTTCCACCAGGGAGCTGGAGAGGCTGTCGTCCAGGACTCCGAGCGAGCTGGGGCCCTCCAGCTGGAGGTCACTGGACTCGCTGCTGTTGTCAGCCAGCTCTCGGGAGTCCTGCAACACACAAGAAGCCAACAGGTCAGGGGGCTGTGGGCGCCAAGAGGGGGCAGTGGCCATGCGAGTCGGTTCCCCGTGAACAGGCATGCATGCTGGTGTGTGCGTGAGCGTGGGGCGGGGTGCGGATGAGAGCACATGGGTATGGCAGGGGGGTCTGTGTGCGTCTCAGGGAGGGCCTGTTACTGGGAAAGGGAGGGGGCGTTTCCAAGCGAGTGCCTGAATGGACGTGAATGTGCATGGACATGTGTGAGGGTCATGCGTGTGAACCAGGACACATGTGTCAGTGTGTGAGTAGGATGGGATCACCGGGGAAGTGTGAGTGACTGTGAAAAAGTGTGGGAATGAATGCAAATATTGTGTGTGTGTGTGTTTATGGGGGGTGTGGTTTTGTGGGCCTGTGTTGACACAGGTGTGTGTGAAAGTGTGATACTGTGTGGCTGAGTGTGCATATGGGTGAGCAGAGCTGGGTGTGGAGGCTCAGGGAAGGTGTCGGGGCGGAGGTGGGCAGGGCCCAATGTGTCCGCTCCTTGTTTCAACTCCTTGAGCCGACTCAGAACAAACATCGTGAACTGGGGAGCGGCAGGGGAAGGAGTCCCATCTTGAACCTCAGGTGTTTCTCTGGAAGGGGCAAGATGCCTAGCTTTTCTTGTCCCCCAAGTGAGCTGAGGTCCTGGCACCCTGCACGAAGGAGAGGGGAGGGCTGTTCGACCTCTGGAACGCCACCTCCAGGGGACACACAGCGTCTGGCTGTGACAACAGTGGAGAAGTAGGCTCAGAACCGGGGAGCTCTCTGTCATCTGGCATCCAGGAGACAGCTGCTTAGGTAAGCTGAAGGCCCGGGTCTGGCAGGCTGGGCACCTGAGGCTCTGTTGTCTCCAGCACCAAGGTGTGAACACTGTCGAAAGGCCCTGGGGATGGGAGGGCCTCTAGCTGTAAGTGTTTAAACCCCCGGGGCTGGGGCGAAGGAGGGAGGTAGAGCCTTTCATAACGTAGAGTTAATTGCTTATCATCTGCCCACCGGGCAAAGCTCAGCTTTGGTGGCCTACTCAGAACTTCCTGTGTCACCTGTGGATGTTAACCAGACACCAGGAGGAAGGGACGTGGCCATTGTCACAGGGCCCACTGGGGGCGCTGCAGGGTCAGAGTCCAGAGCAGGCCCCAGCCTTCCCCTCTGACAGACTGCCCCTGGTGGCTGATGGAATTGGCCTCACCCGAGGCCATCCAAGGCCTCTCTGAACTCTGACCTCTGGCTATCGTCCCTGGCCTGGGCAGAACCAGCCTACTGTCTTCAGCCCTTCCACTCTCCAGGTGAAGCCTCTGTTTTACTGAAACTTCAGCCAAGTGCAAAGTCTTTGCTAACCACAATTAAAATGTGCTGGAATTTTCCTGTGAGTGGCTGATTTCTGCTTTATTTGCATTTCATAGCCCTCTCCCAGGCTCACCATCTTCCTCCTAGGCACTGATAGACACTCATTGAGTCCATCTAGACCTGGTTTGGCTTACAGCAGCCTGTGAGTTTTCTGGGACTTTATACCCGAGGCCCTACTTTGACAAAACATAGGCCTTGTGGATCAGTATCATTGAGTTGGCCGTGCGGCCAAGGCTGGCTTGGCAAGTCTTTCTGAGTCTCTGTCCTGCTATCAGGGCTCCCTGGCCTCCCTGGAGGGAGCCTTCTCCAGGAGTCTTCTTTGAAGTTGCCAGAGTGCCGACAGGAGACACTACCTTCCTCCCCCATGGGAGAATCTAGTCGTTTCCTCCCTCCAACCTTCCAGTGCCTGTCCTGATCACAAGGCAGTGGTGCTCTCACACTGGGGCTGGTGGAAACAGCTGGACTCCCGTTGCTGTGGCCTCCCCTGCGCTGCAGGTGAAGTGCTGTCCCCTTGCCGTCCCCACTTGGCCGAGTCATCTCTGCCACCCACCAGCATGGCCTTCCCCTATTCCTTCTTCTCTTTGCTCCGAACTGCCGAAGCCCTCGCAGTGGCCCTGAGTGCTTCCGTCTGTCTTCTGGAGCTGTCTCTTCAGGCTGGAAAGCCAGCGTCTTCTCTTCAGATAGTCCTTTCCAAGACTTGATCTCCCTGGAGAGCAGCACCTTTGAGCCAACTCCCCCATCTGTATACCAGGGTCACTTATGATAGCCACGAGAACCTCACTTTTCAAGAGCCTCCCATGGCCCTGAGGTCATTCTCTTTTATAGTCATGGAAATATCCTTTGTCCTGAACTTACTGAAGACCCTGCTGGCCCCCTTAATAAAAGAACACCCCTTTCCATCGAGTTGTCAAGGGAGGGAAGGCTGAATCTTCCAGCCCTGACTCCCCTTCCACCCAGATTTCTCTTGCCCTTGGGGAACGACCATAAAGTATGGCTATTCCACTGGGCTGGTCTAACAGGAATGCCTTCCACTGAACTCCAGCTAGCACTACAAGCAGTTCCCCATTCCTGCCTTAAATCCCAGAAGTACAGCTAGGAAGTACTGACATTTAAAAAAGACTTTCCTAAAGACCCAGGGTTAACAGAATCAGCACATAGAGGCTCCGATGCTGGCTATCTTTCTGTCCCTCTTCCACGCCCCCCACTGCCTGCCACTCCTCGACCTCATTCCACAATCAGGATTAAGAGGGGGGGGGGCAGTGGAACATAGAGGGGGAGAGTAGCAGAGACCTGAACCCAAGAAGCCAGGAGAGGGCCTTTCATGGGAAAAAGCTTGAGATTTGCTTGGAAGGGAAAGGAATGGCAGCAGAAAGAACCAGAGCAGGGAAGAGATCAGAGCCCACATATGAGGACTGGAAAGTGAAAAGTGAGAAAAGGCTTTAAGGGACCAATGAGTAGGAGATGATGGTGGTGAGCCTGAAGGGATGAAGGATTTAAGGAGTGCTGCTGTGAGTTATGAATTGTATTCTCTGTAATAGTCTTTGAAAGATGACTATATACTAGATAGTTGGTTAATGGACTGTGTTTCTTTGACTGCAAAACTGAGCCATGTGGGATCTGGGATATTTCTTAGGATACACAGGCAATCAGGATACATGTGCAATTGGGTTCATGAGCTCAATTTCACTTATCTCCATCACAGTCAACTTAGCAGATCAACTGCATCTCAACTTAACACAACAGGTGTAATGGCCATATCGAGGTGCTCCTAGGCTGACACCTTATCACCTTCCAAAAAAACCTTATAGGAGGTTTATCTGGAAAGACCCAGCATCTCCCCTTTCCAAACTGGATCATATCCCAGCATGTATACGTCACCTCTATTCAAGGCTGATACGTACACAAATGAGCAGCATTTCTTTGACACAGATATGCAATCAAATCCCTCAAGAGGAGAAGGGAGTGACAGAGGATGAGATGGTTGAATGGCATCACCGACTCAATGGACATGAGTTTGAGCAAGCTCTGGGAGACAGCAAAGGACGGGGAAGACTGGTATGGTCCAGTCCATGGGGTCACAGCACAGAGTTAGACATGACTTAGCGACTGAACACAACAACCTTGATTGTGCACAAGCAATTTTAAAAAATCTTGACATCCAGGCTGCACCCCAGAGCAATTCAGTTAGACTCTCTGGGGGTGGGACTCAGGAATCTGTCCTTGGTAAAACCCCCAAGTGATAGCAGTACATAGCCAGGATTGGGAACAACTGTCCTAATTACTGATTCATTCCATGTTTGGGCATCAGGAAATCAGACAGGAGCCAAACTCTTTGCTATTCAACATCCTCACCTGAAGTATCTAGTATCGACATTAATGCTAATCGAGAGAGTCCTCGGCTCCTGAGGAACTTTCTCAGCACTTGAGCTCAAGCAACAGTTGGGATCAGATTGGCCAGACACATGCATGCCTGTATTTTGCAGACAGAAAACCCTAGCTCTTACAAAGCCTGAAGGCCCCAGAGATACCGCACATGTTATCTGTTAACCCAGATGATCCCATTAGCCAGCCTGTGGTCCCTACGTCCCTCTGTCTCCTGCTCTGGCCCCTCTGCAGGCTCCAGGGGCCACAGCTCCCACCTTCTCAGCCGAGCACCTGTTTCTTTTTCCAGTGTGCACACTCACCAGCATCACGGTTCCTCCCCTAGATCAGTTGCTCCCCACAGGCCTCCCTTCCCCTGCCCGTCACCATGCACTTCTTCCGGAAGTTGCCCCCTCAGCAAGGCCACCTCCTGCTTCCACTTGGTCGTGCTGCTACTGGGTACTGGGGCATCTTCTGTTGCAAGAGTGGGTGAGGACATCTATCTTTTTCTCCTTTGGCTCTGTTGACACAGGGCCCGCGGCAGAGGTGTGGCTGACCCACCTCATTTTTAAGCATAGTCCTCACCCCAGGTCTCCAGCATCAGGCCTGGGACTCCCCCTCCACCCCAAGACTACAGTCCCACTGCCTCTCCCAGCAGGGGCGAGGTCTCCGACAGAACACCTGTGCTTCTCGAGCAGCCTCTCCCCAGCCCTGCCCACCACACCAGGTCAGTGCCAGAGCCCCCACATGTCTGGATTCCAGCCATTGACACAGCTGCAGCACAAGTTGGGAGCTTGCATGCCCTGGTACACTTGGAAAACGCAGTATCTTAGCAGGCCACTATTCTACAACTCAGCAGGTGACAGAAGAGACATGAGTTCAACCTCTGGGTGGGGAAGAGCCCCTGGAGAAGGAAATGGCAAACCCCTCCAGTATTCTTGGCTGGAGAATCCCATGGACAGAGGAGCCTGGTGAGCTACAGTCCATGGGGTCACAAAGAGCTGAACATGACTGAAGCCACTAAGCAGGCATTCCAAAGCTCTCATACAGGGGCAGGATGGATAAAGTCCATAGGGAGGGGAGGACATGGGAGCTGGGAGCATCCTGCAGACATCGCTCTGCCCCCTCCTGCTAAGGAACTCTGGGAGCACCAGGGGTCTGGAAGGGGGCATGGAAGGTGGATGAGAGATGCACGTACTGAGAAGGATCTAATTTGTTTGCTTTCTAAATTTTTTTTTTCCAGCAAGTTTCAGACTCCTGTAATGGTTAATTTTAAAAGCCTGTCTGAAGAACGCCTACACAAAAGCAGTATCCCTCTGGTTTCTCTTGCCTCCAGACATGAGCAGCTGCTTCTAATCATTTAATTCTTTGTAACCTGAAATGCACTTCTCCTTCCTGAGTTGATCAACCTCAGATAGCACCTAGTGGCTCCTTGCTGCTAAGTCGCTTCAGTCGTGTCCGACTCTGTGTGACCCCAGAGATGGCAGCCCACCAGGCTTCCCCATCCCTGGGATTCTCCAGGCAAGAACACTGGAGTGGGTTGCCATTCCCTTCTCCAATGCATGAAAGTGAAGTCGCTCAGTCGTGTCCGACTCTTAGCGACTCCATGGACTGTAGCCAACCAGGCTCCTCCGTCCATGGGGTTTTCCAGGCAAGAGTACTGGCTCCTCGCTACTGACAGCTAAGTGCTAGTCTGATCCCACCCCCACCCCCACACCACCAAAATATTTCTGGTTTCAGTAGTTCTACCTGACTCTCATGAAGTCTGGCCAGATTAACAGCATTCAAATCCTTCTCTTGCTCTTTCTTTCCCAGGCTTCTACTTCCATCCAGGGTTAGCCTTGTTTTAATGTTATCAAGATTATTGGATAGAAAGAAGTAACCAGCTTTCTGAGGAATTTAGAACATGGAACGACTCACAAAGTGATTGGCACTGAGGAATAGTAAAAAGGGTGGGGGGAGTCCTGGGCAGCTCTGGGGTCCCAGCTTTTGCAACTAGGCAGATGTGTGCAACTTACAGAGAGGACAAGAGGCAAGGTGAATTTGAGGTTTCTGTGGGGCATCTGAGTGGAGATACTGGGCGGCTACTGGCTTTATTGGTCTGGCGGGCAGGAGCCCATAGGCAGCCGTGTGCATGGTTGAGATCATGGGGACAGTGTACAGATTCTAGAAGGAGATGAGATCCAAGAACCTAAAGCTGAAAGAACAACATTTAAAAGAACGAAGAGACCTGAAGTGGAGGTGAGGAGGACCAGCCAGAGCTGCAGGAGGAAACCTCCTGAAGCTAAGGGAAGCAGAGTTGTGGGGTGTTAGGACTGAAGGTGACCACTGGACTCAGAGGCACCATCTGGAGATGGTGGCAGGGCTCACAGGCATGGTGGGGAAGGGCAGGGAACTGGGGCAAGGAAGGAGCGCCAAGGGGATGAAGGTTGAAGCACATAAATGGTGTGTGTGGGGGGAATGAATGCAATGGTAGGACTTTCTCCAGGGTGCTTAGTTACATCCCACAGGAAGTGTTTGAAGATGCAAATGAGGATGGGGAGATGGAGGGAGGTTCCCAAAGGGCAGGAGGGCAGGGCCAGGAAGAGGAGGAGTGAGTCCTAGAGGGGGGTGGCCACCCTCACCATCCTAACAGAAGGGATGGGGAGGGATGTGATGGGGTCAGGTCAATCAGTCATCAGAAAGCAAGATGTGGGCTGCTGCCATGCCACCTGTCCTATGGTCCTCCTAGGGCAGAAGGTGCAGCCACCGGCCAAGAGCAAGGGTGGGGAAGAGGGACCAGAGCTAGGGAAGTAGGGGTGCAGCGAGGCGCCCTGAAGAGCAGGGGGCGGGGCATGCCTAGGCAGGAGGCCAAGGAGCCCAGGAGACAAATCATCTGTAGCTTTCCTCCCCTCGACTTTTCTCCAACAGAAGTTGGCCTCCAGGTGGCAGTGCAGAGCAGGGGACACGACTGCCTCCTTCCAGGGCTGTGTTTGGAGGGTCGGCTACCAGGAGCAGGGCGGTGGGGAGACAGGGCACCAAGATCCTGGTGAAAGACTGGCTGAAACGGTGGACCTTGCTGGCTGGTGGGCGGGAGGTAATGGCAGAAGGAACTGGGAGGGAGAGAGCCCAGGTCCTGGTAATAACTGATGGGGAGCTCAAGGAATAGGAGGCTATGGTCAGTCTGGGCCAGTCTAGAGAAGGAAAGTTCTCAGTGATGCAGTGGTCTGGGGGGAGGATGCAAGAGGGGTGGGGCTGGCAGCTACTGGGGAATGGGGCAAAGATCCTTGAAACGTCAAGGAGAGGCCAGGCTGGTGGATGTTGGAGTCAGCCAGGAAGAAAGCGGGACCTGGGTGGGGAGAGGAAACCTAGGAGGCAGTCTTCCTACGTGGTGGGGAGCAGAAGGATGTCTGAGATGAGCTGGGGAAAGGGGGTTCATCTGGAGAGCCCAAACCTCAAGGGCATAGAGGATGCTGCCAGATAGTAGAACCGAAGCAGTCCAGGAGGCACAGAGGGCCTGGACCCTACGTCCCACCTCTGAGGCTCACACAGGGAATGGAGGAAAGAGGGTCACGGCAACCCCAGGTGAACCAAGTGTCTGTGCAGAGGAGCCAAAGACCGCCAGCCGGGAGGAGGTAGGCCCAGCAGGGAATCTGACGGTCATGGAAGAAGGGTTTGCAAGGGTAATCGTTCAATGAGTGTTTATTGAGCAGCCACACCTGCCAGGGCCTGGGAGCCACGCAGTCCCTGCCCTCATGGGCTTACATCCTGGCAGAGGCCCAGTGGGAAGGCTTGGGGTGGGAGAATGGGGCAGTGGGAGTTGCAAAGGGTGCGAGAAGCTTCATCTTGGGCAAAGAGACCTGAGGATGTGCGGAACCAGAATATCCTGGCTGGGGAGGCCTTAAGCCTCTTTGTTCAGAGGTCCATGGAGCCATTCATTCCCTGCTTCATTCTGTGACAAGACATACGGGATGCCAACCTGCCAATCTCCAGGGCTGCAAAGGAGGGAGGTACCTGGGGCTCTCAGAGGCTTGTCTGCGGGGTGTCTGTGCTGGTGGGTGGCCTCTCCAGAGGGTGGGGTGGTAGGAATGCACTTGGAGAGGCCTCCATGGGGACCTGGACTGGGGGATTCTCCGTGGGGGCCCTGCCAGGATCCCGAGGGGAGACCTCTGCTGCAGGAATTTGGGATGCTCTGCCTCCCCCCATCATTCTCCTGTAAAAGGTGTTACGCTGGGAGATCCCAGGGGAGTGAGGAAGGGGAAAGATGTTGAGCCACTGGGACACAGCAGGGAAGGAGTCAAGGGGTCGTGTAGCCAGTCGCAACAGGCGGGGTTGGCCACCGGCCCTTTGGGGGTGGGCGGGATCCTCCTGGGGATTGGCAGGTTGGCTGGGAGGCCCAGTGGTGGCCGGGGTGGTGGTTTGACCCGTGGAGGAAAGCCAAGTCCACTTGTGGGCACCATACGTTTTGAGGGGCAGGTGAAAGGTGCTGCGAGGGCGCAGGGCTCTTTGCACCCCGCGTAACAGGAAGCTGATCCCACGGTGGACGGCGGCTTGCTCCTGGTGACCGGCAGGCTGGCTGGGGCTCTCAGCGTCGGGGACGGCAGCTTGCTGGGCGGGATGGTGGGGAGGCCAAGCCGGGGGGCGGCATGTGCCACGGGACAGACGAGAGGCCCAGAGGGGGTGGGACGCTCCGTGAGCTCTCGGCGGGGGGTGGACGGACGAGGAAGGAGGCAGGACGGCGGTCTCAGTGGGCTCCGCACGCTTTCCAACACAGAACCTCAGACTGAGGGCTGGCAGGGGCCTCAGGGGCCACCCAGTCCAGCCTTCCACTCTAATTCCGATCCCTTTCGCCCCTGGGCAGGCGACAGCCCGGCCTCTATGACCCTCTAAGAACAAACATCCGGGACAGGAGGGTCACAACCCATGCAGCCACTTGTCCCACTGTGGGATGGCTTTAAAGAAAGTTCTGCTTATGTGGAGTCACAACGTTCTAGTCTGGGCCCTGCGTGGTGCTGCCCTGCACCCTCACACCCCCACCCCACGTGGCCCTGCATGGCTGCCATTAACCGGGGGAACGGGTGCGGGTCCGCCCTCCTCACTGAGACTTAGGAGGCAGAAAATGCATAAGGAAGCTGCAGACACAGGCACTGGCTAGTCCAGAAAAGACACAGGGCTCTGAAGGGAAGCCCCGTCCAGCTCTTCAGAAAGCGTACATGTGATTACTGATGGCTCCTGCCCTGGTACGACGGGAGGGCCGGGGTGATCCAGGCCACAGCTGGCAAGTGGAGACTATCCTCCGGACAACTCGGGACTCACTGCCTCGCTGATAAATCCCCCGGGTGCAAGGTGAGTCTGAGAGTCACCTGCTGGGGGCTCTGCCCCCGGGGACCTGGAATGGGGGGAGGCAGTGTCCTGGGCCGGACTTCTGAACCACTCACCGGGTTTTCAGGATCTGAGTCTTCTGAGCTGCTGATCACCACGACGCGCTCCTCTGAAATGGAGCAAGGGAGATGGGGTTAGGCCCTGGCAGGGCTGCTTGTGAATGGAGTCCGGGGTGTTCTCCTGTGGGAATCCTTGCAGGCCAGTGGGCTGGGCGGGTGACATGTGCCCTGCAAGGGGGCTGTCAACATTCAGCGTGTCGGCCAGTGTGGATCTGCCTGTTTAGTCCCTCAGTTAGGTCTGACTCTTTGCAACCCTGTGGATGTAGCCCGCCAGGCCTCTCTGCCAGTGGAATTCTCCAGGCAAGAATACTAGATTGGGTTGCTGTGCCTTCCTTCAGGGGACCCCCAATGCAGGGATCAAAGCCACCTCTCTGATGTCTGTCTGTGTTAGCAGGCGGGTTCTTTACCACTGGGCCACCTAGGAAGCCTGTATGGAGGGGTTACTCAAGGTGGCTTTCCATCACTGCCTGCTATGCCTTGTCTGTGAAGACTTAATTCAGCTGCTGCCCTGGAATGATTCAGAACTGACTACCCGTGGAGGGGGTGTGACAAGCACCACCTGGTTTGGAACCTTGGGCCATCCTAAAGCAGCACACTGGTTGTTCCAATTCTCAGTTCCGTGAGCCAAGATGTTTGAGTTAAAAGATATTTTAGGTTTACAAAACCTTCTGATTACCAATAGCATTTGTGAGCAAGGATTCTCCATTGAGGCTGAGTGTGTGGCCAGGGTCAGGGTTCAGTGTGACCAGGGACAGGGGTCAGCGTGGGACCTAGAATGAAAACAAAGCTGGACACTGGGTAAGACAGCTCCAGGAAGAACTGTCTTGAACATTCCAGAATTCTGTGGGTTGACCTCCACTCACATGAAAGGACTCCCTCTCTGGCAGTGGCCATAAAAGATACCTTGAACAAATGAGATACTTTAGGTGGATGGCCTTTGTAAAAAAAATTTGGGAACCGATGGGTGTGGACTTTACCCAAGTCTTCTCTGAGCATGTGCTAGACACCTACCAGCAAACATTGTTTGGGGAGACCCAGCCTGTGCAGAGGCATGGTCTGAGTTCAAAAAGAGTGTGTCAGGGGAAGGAGCTAAGGAAATGTGTTCCCCAGCCCATCATGCTCCCTACACGGGCATCCCAGCAAAGCATGGGCTAAACCATCCACGTTCCCGCCAGCCCCCCCAACCCAGACAAACCCTGGACTTGCCCTTCCCGTTTGGTGGCAGCTGAGGGCAAGACACACAGGGAATGCTGCTGGCCTTGGGCTTCCTGGGAAGGGCATCGGGATGCAGAGGAGGGGTCCCACCCAGCCCCGGGAAGACAGGATGCAGGCCTCAGCCCGTGCAGCCTACCCCCACTCCCTACCTGTCTCTGCAGGGTCGCCGGTTTGATGGTTGCTGTCAGGCAGCGAGAGCTCATCTCTTATGATGGGGCTCTTGGGGCTGGGGGGCCCATCCAGGTGGGGTGGCGAGACTGCCCTGGAGGTGCTGGGCCTGGGCTGCTCAGGGGAGCTCCGAGCCAACCTAGACTCTTCCCCCTCCTCAGACTCCATCTTGATGACCTTCCGGGGGCACTCGGTTTGGCAAGCCTTCCTCTTCTGCGGGGTGGCCGTGTTGGTGACCTCCTGTGCAGTGGGGTGTCACAGGGCGGGGTCAGGAGCCTCCAGGGCACCAGGGCAGTGGGCAGAGACCCAGACCTGAGTGGTAGGACTCTGTTCCCCGCCCCGTGCCCTTTGCTCCTGCTGTCCCCTCTGCTATCTGCCATGCAGGTCACACCTCTCTACACAGAGGCCCTCCCAGGTCAGCAGGCACACTGGCCCTGCTGGTGACCACTGACCACCGATCTCTGCTGGCTTCTGACTGCCCTGGGAGGGGCTCCTGCTTGGAGGGGAGCTTCCTGACACAGCCACCAAGGGCTGGGAGGGCGCAGAGTAAGTGCCTGTTGAGGTCTGGGTTCTCACTTCCATTCTACCTCTTACCACCGAGTGGGATCTGGGCCCTGGGAAGGGGAGGCGAGGGCTGGGGAACATCTTACTTCTCTGCGGGAGGGGTCTTGGATGGAGAAGGCGTACACTGGCACAGGGTGTGCCCCTGGCACCGGCTGTACCACGGCCAATCCCACGGCTTGCTCCTGGTCCCTCTGCACCTCCTCTGGCTGCAAAGTTGTGAAACAAAAGTAGTCAGAAATGACCAGGCAGGGGACTTCCCTGGTGCTCCAGTGGCTAAGTCCCTGCACTCCCAATGCAGGGGGCTCAGGTTTGATCCCTGGTCAGGGAACTAGATCTCATACGCTGAAACTAAAGAGCACGTGTGCCTCAACTAAGACCCAGTGTAGCCAAATAAATAAATATTAAAGAAAGAAAGAAAATGACCAGGCAGTAGGACCAGCCAGGTTCCCTGACCTGGGGTCAGCTCAGTCTCCAAGGCCTCACCCAGACATAAGAGCTGGCTCCTGGTCCAATACCGAGAGCCTAATGGGGACCAGGAGTCTTCCTTGCAGCCTCCATGACTTCACCCCCTGGCAACCCTGAGCTGCTGGCACCCCAGGGACCACATCAATGCCTGTGCATCCTAATGGTGCCAGAAGATGACCTCAGGGATCACAGTGCCCAACAACTCAAGGTTCGCTTGACAAGTAGGCCCAGCCTAGACAACTCCGGGGCTTCCCCGGTGGCTCAGATGGTAAAGAATCCACTTGTAATGTGGGAGACGGGTTCAGTCCTTGGCTTGGGATGATCCCCTAGAAGAGGGCATAGCAACCCACTCCAGTATTCTTGTCTGGGGAATCCTCATGGACAGAGGACCCTGGCGGGCTACAGTCCATGGCGTTGCAGAGTCAGACATGACTCAGCGACTAAGCGCAGACCAGCACAAACAACTCTAGGGACGAAGTGGTGCTGGTGGTCCCTACTAATGGTAGTAGCTCCTCTCTAGCTGTAAATTCATAATAGGGAGGGGACCCTTCCATGGAGCTGACATTGCCCCCCGCCCCATCACCTGTTCACAATAGCCTAAAGGTGGAAACAGCCCAAGTGTCAATGGATGAAGAGATAAAATGTAGGGTAGCCTTTCAGGAGAATCCCATTCAGCCACAGAAAGGAATGATGCCCTGACCACACAAGGTGGATGAACCTTGAACACATCATGCTAAGTGGACAGCTAGCCACAGAAGAACGCATTCTCTATGATTCCATTTATACGAAATAGCCAGAAGTGCCAAATGCACAATGACAGCAGACTGGGCGTTGCCAAGGGTTGGGGGAGGGAAAGTGAGGAGTGACTGCTTCATGGATATAGGCTTTCCTTTTGGGGAAATGAAAGTACAGGAACTATAGTCTGGGACAGTTATACCAGACTGTGAGCGCACTACATGTCACTGGATGGTACACTTTAAAATAGTTAAAATGGTGAATTTTCTTATGTGAATTTTACAATGAAATTACAGTTTAAAAAAAAAGGAGGTGGTGCTATATTATATATTATTATATTATATATATATATTATATTATTGCCCATCTACAGAGAAGGAAACCAAGGCACAGAGAGGTGAAGTGATTTCCCAAGGTCATATACCTAATAAGGGCCTGGACCCGGGGCTTGAAACTAGTGTTATTTTTAATTTTTTAAAAATTTGTTTATTTTTGGCTGCATTGGATCTTCATTGCTTTGTGCAGGCTTTCTCTAGTTGCGGCAAGAAGGGCTTACTCTCCAGTTTCGGTGCAAGGGCTTCTCTTTTGTGGAGCACAGGCTCTAGGCGCATGGGCTTAGTTGCTCTGCGGCATGTGGAATCTTCTCAGACCAGGGATTGAACCCACGTCCCCTGCACTGGTAGGCAGATTCTTATCCACTGCGCCACCAGGGAAGTCCAAATCCAGTGCTTCTGAAATGCAAGTTCCCTTTCTGTGCCTGAGTACGCTCCCTTTTCTTCACTCACTGTCTCCTTTATGTCCCTCTGCACCATCTTTCCCTATCGTGGGAAACTCAAGAGTAAGCTGGAGCTTTTGCTGAAATGGTGTTTGTGATGTGGTGAGCATCCCTCTGCAATGAGAGGCCCAGATTCCGGCGCTCAGTCCAGGGGCCCCAGCCTGCCCCTCCTGCCTCCAATCCTGACCCCTTGGTGCCTCACACTCCCTATGCACTTGGCAGACGAGGGTCCATCCAGAGCCCGAGGTCCATCCACATAGCTGGGGGTGCTCTTGGCTAAGCTGAGCTGCGTTAGAAAACCCAGGCACTGGGCTGTAAGAGGGTGAGGTCAGGAATGTGCTTTCCTCACGGCGACAGGCTCTGTCTGCTCCCGTGCGGTGGGGCACGTGGTTGGGCCCACCCTCACAGGGTGAACAGCAGGGCTTACCTGGCCACGCCTGGGCAGAGGAAGGCAGGGAAGCCCGGCAGGACAGGCCGTGTGCTGGGGACCAGGACCCCGAGGCGGGGCTCTTCTTGATGTCAAGTGCATTCATGTCAAATGTGGGTTCCCAAATCATGGACTATCATGGACTGATTTCCTCCCCTCCTTCCAGGGTTTTTTATTTTTTCAACATCCTCACAAAAAGAGAGGAGAGCTGTTTCTCTGAATCAGAGAGCGGACCTGTTTGGGGTGGGGGTGGGGGGTTGTGTGGGAGGAGGGGATAATCTGGCAGGTCATTTTCTCCCAGGCCTCTTGGAAAAATATATAATCTCCAGGGTACTCTTGGTGCCAGTGTTTTACAAATTACAGTTGTGACCCATGAGTGGGTCACGGAAGCAAAGTCATGACTAGCATTTTTTGTATTACATAGAATACTACAGAACAGAAAAATCTTAATTAAGAGTACACACCACATTTATCAGTGTAATTTATTGCACAAAACTTCTGTTTTACCTATAGGTATGTGCATGTGTATACACCAGTAGGTTAGATGTAAAATATATCTTTTACAGTGGGTGGTGGTCAAAAACTTTAAACCACTCCACAGTCTTTAAGATGGCCACTACTTAAAAAAAAAGTGTGAATGAGAATGTGGAGAACTGGAACTGCTGTGGACTGTTGGTGCACCAATACAGTGCAGCCACTAAGGAAAATTTTATGGTGATTCCTCAAAAATTAAAAACAGAATTACTATACGAATCAGCAATTCCACTTCCAGGCAAATTTATGTTATATGTATTTGATCACCATTAAAAATTAAAGAGTGGGGACTTTACTGGTGGTCCAGTGGTTAAGAATCTGCCTTATAATGCAGGGGACCTGGGTTCGATCTCTGGTCCAGAAAGAGTCCATATGCTGAGGCGCGACTAAGGTCGTGTGCCACAACTACTGAGCTTGCGTTCTAAGAGCCTGTGCTCTGCAACAAGAGAAGCCACCACAATGAGTGTGCACACCACAACTAGAGGGTAGCCCCCACTTGCGGCAACTAGAAAAAGCTAGAGTGAGCAATGAAGACCCAATGCAGCCAAAAAATAAATTTTTTTAAAAAATGAAAACAGTTGGAAAGGTCTTGGTCTGCCCATCTGTGTGTGTCTCTGAAAACTGCTGGCATGCAAGAGAACCTCTTTCCATGTGGGCTGTGAACTCTCCAAAGACAGAACTGGGCTCCTCTGCCCATCCTTCCTGACACCCCCTACCCATGTTAATGAAGCAGGGACACACAAGAGGGCTCAGTAAAGAAAAAAAAATCATCATGACTGATTCATAGTTATTTTACAGTTTTAAAACAATTTATTTTTTCCATTAAAGTATTGTGACATCATTACAGAAAGAACCAAGGGAGACAGAGGAAGGACAATGTCTGAGGTGCTGTCCTACCCAAGCACTCCTAGTTAATTACACCGGCTGGTATTTATCATCCTCTCCACCTAGGCACAGGGTGGGGATGAAACTAAACCAGCGGTTTCAAGAGGGATGCATGTTGGTGCTGGAAGCCCAGTTCCTGCCTCCTAAGGCAGGAATATGGGTCCGAGCAGTACTTCTCTCCTGGCACAGCCAGACCATGCCTGCCTCCCTCAAGCAGCCGCACCTGTCCTTTGCACTCATGGTGTATGACCCACTTCCATTCCCCAGCTCCATCCACCCTCACCCCCAAGCCTCTGCACAGAGCATTCTTCTGATGCTCCAAGTTCAACCTGCTTAGTAGCTGGCAGCGACAGGGCACAAGACGAGGCCCAGAAAAACACCTAGACCGTCTTCACACAAGACAACACAGGCTCTCTTGCTGTTCATTAACTAACGACTGGCACCTGGAAGCCAGTGCAGTCTGTGGCCCTGGGGCACTTGTCACCACCATTCACAATTTCTTTGAAGACATTTTTTCATTCTAGCGTTGTCTATCATATCAAAATAACCTAAAAGCCAAGGAACTGGCTAAACAAATCACGCTACACCTATTTTAGCACAGACCACTATGCAGATATAAAAAGGCATCAGGCAGCTCCCTGCCTACTGATGAGATAAGAATTCCCCAACAGTATTGTGCCCTAGGTATGATATATCTGTGGCACTATGCTACCTTTGTCCAAAAAAAAAAAAAAAAAGCAAATATATAGTCATATTTGCTTGTAACTACATAAAGAAATTCTGGAAGGATATAAGCCACCAGGAAAGCCCAAGAAATTAACAAAGATAGAAATATAGGTAGGCCTTCACTGGTGGCTCAGTGGTAAAGAATCAGCCTCTCAATGCAGGAGATGCAGGCTTGATCCCTGGGTTGGGATGATTCCTGGGAGAAGGAAATGACAACCCACTCTAATATTCTTGCCTGGGAAATCTCATGGACAGAGGAGCCTGGCAGGCTACAGTTTATGGGGTTGCAAGAGTCGGACACAACTCAGTGACTAAACAACAACAATACGGGTGTAAACACTGGTCAGATGGGGGACAAGGTGGGAGGGAGACATTATCACTTTCTATGTTTTTATTACAATTTCTGACCATGTGATTGTATTACTCGTCCTAAATATCCAGAATTAAATGTCCTTTTAAAATTTTATATGTGTGTATATGGGAATGCAGTACCCAAGACAGTTGGGAACTGGCTTCAAGTCCTGTCCTTAGCATTAGCATGCTGTGTGGCCTTGGGTTAAGTCACACCCTCTCTTGGGGTCTTAGCTTCATTCTCTATACAAGAGCAGGTCAGATGCCAAGATTTCTCCTAACTCTAAAGCTCTCAGGTCCTAAGTTCTGCCTCCTATGGAAAGCCTCTTCTAATTGCCTCAACCTACAGCAATCTCTGTCTCCTACGAGAGAGATTAGCCACGGCAAAGCTAGCAAGGCTGACTGCTCTCACCAGAAGACCTGCTTTCCATGGACGACCAGTCAATCCTGGGCCCAGCTCCTTGACAGGCACACACACCTGGATGACCAGGATGGGGAGCAGACCAGGTGCCCGATCCGGGGAGGAACTGAAAAAGCTTATCCGGGGGAGAGAAGAAATGCATGCACGTAGCCAAGAGGACAGGTTAACAGGATGCCACTGCATTTGCACCCAGGGATGCGCCCTAAGAGCACTGCAGAAATCAGAGTGGCTCAAGCCTCAAGAATGAGCAAGCTTCCTGTCCCTGGAGGTATGTGCATGACGGCTGGACAGTCGCAGGTCAGCAGTGCTGCAGAGGGAATGACCACATGAGAGGGAGTACGGGTGCTTTCCAACCCTGAATACTATGGCTCTTAGGACTGTGACGGCCCTGAAATCACATCGATGGGACCCAGGCTGCTGCGATCACTGTCTGACTCCTGGCCTCATTCTCCATTCCCCTCCAGAACCATATGTGGGGGAAGGGCCACATATCTGGAGTGGGGCACACAGAAGGGAGGGACATCTGCCAGGTCTATCAAGAGCCTGCCTGCCAGGGACTACTCCTTTATCTCCTGTCCACCCCTGGGTCTAATGCTTCCTGGACACATCAAGACCTACTATGGCACTTAGGAGCCCAGAGCCAGCCAGCCCTTCCTCTGCCCCCTCCCACTGAAGGCTCCAGTCCAGGCCCTTGCTGTCATTCTCTCGGGTGCTCTCTCTCCTCTGTTGCCTGTAGACATAGGGACAGCAAGACTCAGTTTCCTTCCCGATGGAGGGGAACTCCCAACCCGCCCGGCCTGCAGGATGGACTACCTCCCCTTTAAACCTCAAGTCCATCTCACCGGGTCAGTGCTACAAGTGTCTCTGGGAGTGCTGGCAGCTTCTGGGCTGGCTCTCCTGGATAGAGCTGCATCTGGAGAACACAAAGAAAGTCATGGGCAGGTCAGAGACGTTCCTGGTGAGGCATCCTGTCTGAGGACAGTGACAAAGGAAACATCCCCGCTTTTCCTGGAGACCCATTTTCCAGGGCCTCTGGCAGCTCCATGGAGTGGCTGTAGTTGGGAAGAAAGCTCCCTGATTGCAGTGGGCATGAACTCACCTAGAAGGAAGAGAGGCGTGGCATGGGAGAGTGCTTGCCTTTGGCTCCAGACCCCAAGCACAGCTCTCTCTCCAACTTGGGGCCGCCACCAAGGCAAAGCACGGACAATCCTAACAGCGTTACTGCTCACTGATTTCTCTGCACAGTGAGAGCTCCATGACACTCTTCTGACTTGTGGCCTGTTTTTATTAAATCTGAATCTCTCATGCTGGAAGATAAAATAACTCCTTTCTCTGCCACCACCGAGGCAAGCTGTTTAAACTCTATGGAGGTCATGTCCTGTACATGCGGTAAGTCACCACCCAGGTGGAGAAGGCGCATGTCCACGCTAGGACTGCATTTTGATGAATCCACATTCACTAGCTCCAAGGGCAGGAGTGAGCAGGTCTCCATCACTGCCACCTGCCCAAGAACCTTCTGATTCTGAGGCTTTCCTCCTTTTCTCAGTGAAAGGGCATCCTCACACCAGAACCAGAGATTTCATCAAAGAGCCATTTCAGCCTCCCTACCCTGGAGGCCCTCCTGAATGCCCCCGTGTCTCTTGGAAGCCTCCCTGCTGCCTCCAGCACCTAGAAAGCTGCTGTAACTCCTGGATTTGGGCTGCAGAGCCAAGCACTGTCTCATTCTCCAGCCACACAATGTGCCCCGACATTGTCTCCCAGTTGGACTGGATAACTTCAGGTCAGAAACTGGTCCTCTGTCTTCCCACTTCCCTAGGCCCAATACCAGGCAAGGCCCACAAAGCTAGGCAGCTAGTCCAGATGGCAGGCCGTCCGAGGGGCAAAAGATCTCCTCCACTGAGCCCTAGCCTGGTTTTGGGTAAGCACCCAACCAGGGGATGGGGGTGGGGGGTAGGAACGGTGGTGGTGGTGGAGGTTCTCAGCCCCACCCAAACCTCACGTTCCTGTTGAGTTCTCTGTTGCTGGACACAGGGGGCTTATGAGAACCTCTTGAAGTGGTTGGCCCCTCTGGGGCTAAAATGATACAGGGTATGGTTCTCAGCTTTATAGTTTTTTAAGTCCCTTGAGGGGCTTCCCCAAGTGGCTCAAGCAGTAAAGAATCTGCCTGCAATGCAGGATACCAGGGTTCAATCCCTGGGTCAGGAAGATTCCCTAGAGAAGGAATTGGCAACCTAATCCACTCCCTCTTGCCTGGAGAATTCCACGGACAGAGGAGCCTGGCGGCCTACAGTTCATAGGATCGCAGAGTTGGACACAACTGAGTAACATTCACTTTCAACTTCCTTGAGGGTCACAAGATCACAACTAATACTTAGGGTCTTGTAAATCAGTCAGACGTGACCCTTCTGGGTGGCTGCAGGCTTCCGCTCCCCCAGACTTATCCTGCGCTCTGTAACCTATGATGTGATCAAACCCAAGAGACTTAATAAAAACCCCACAGTTTCCTCTTACGTCACACCGGGCTGATCTTTTCCACCCGCCTTTCCCCAGGGGCAGCGGCAGGCCCAAGCCCTCACAGGGTAAACAGGCCAGCTATAAGGTGATGGTGGCTTACCTGTACCCTGGGTGATGCAAGAGAGGAGGTCCTGCAGACGCATCCTGAATATGTCGAAGCTGTTTGTGTGTACCGTGGCTCGCGGGCTCTGGGGCTCCTCCTGGCGCAGCTGGTGGAGTGCCTTGCGCAGGAAGTCATGCATGTCCAGCACCTCCTGATCCGAGGCATACAGTTTCATCCTCTGCACCAGCACGCTGCCCATACGGATCCGCTGTAGCACGGCGTCCAGCCGGCCCAGCTGGCCCGCTATCTCTTCGTAGTCGCGCTGGTACCGCGCACCCACGCCTTCCAGCAGCTCACGCTCCAGCTCGAGCACGTGCGCTACCACCTCGCGCACTCGCTCGCGGATGAACTCCTCGGTGTCGGCGCGTACGCGGCCCAGCTGGGTGATGGCAGAGCGCATCTGCGCCTGCGCTGCCGCAAAGGCGCGGTCCTGCTCCTGCAGGTCCTGGGTCATGGTGTCCAGCTCATCCTGCCGCTGCTGGATCTCCGTGCTGATGTCGCACTTGAGCTCGCTGTGGTCCCTATCCAGGAGCGCGCACGAGCAGCACAGGGGCTTGGAGCAGCCTCTGCAGTAGATGCTGCGGACACAGAAGGTTGGCCTGATTTAGGGCATTCCTGCTTTCTTTTTCTCTTTAAATATTCTTTATTAAATGCCTCTTCAAAAAGTTACGAAACTTTGAATCCTGGTATGTTTCTACGTCTGTGCTTTTCTCAGTTCAGTGTTTCTGGTTATGGTGATAGTATCCAAACTACCAATAAAACTTACTGGAACATAAAAAAGTTACTAAAGTAGTAATAGCTAGCCTCCATCCATAAAATACTGTATATTAACACATATATATGTAATTTAGAAAGACAGTAACAAAGATCCTACATGCAGGGCAGCAAAGGAGACACAGATGTAAAGAACAGACGTTTGGACTCCATGGGAGAAGGCGAGGGTGGGATGATTTGAGAGAATAAAATTGAAATATGTACATTCCCATATGTAAAACATATGATCAGTGCAAGTTCGATGCGTGAAGCAGGGTTCCCAAATAAAGTGCTCTGGGACAACCCAAAGGGACAGGGTGGGGAGGGAGGTGGGAGGGGGTTTCAGGATGTGGAGACACATGTATACCCATGGCTGATTCATATCGATGTATGGCAAAAACCATCACAATATTGTAAAGTAATTATCCTCCAATTAAATAATTTTTTTTTTAAAGCAGAGTTAATCATCATCAGAACCACCCAGCACTTCTGAATTTCTTTTCTCCACCTCAGAGACAACCAGGGGAGCATCCTGGGTGCATCTTTCACACCTCTGGCTCTTCAAACCACTTCACATAAATATTCACACTCTTCTGCTGCTAGCAGAATTCTAAGGACTTGATACATTTCATCCCATTTAATCCTTGGTAGAGTTTTTTAAAAGAGAATTATTATGATCCTCACTTCACAGATAGAAGAAAACAAGATGTTCAGAGCTTAAATAACTGACTCATACCTACAACAATTTTGGGCAGGTTGATGTTTTAAAAAAAAAAATCAGATCATGCTAAATGATTATTTTGTAACTTCCTCCTCTAATTTAACTTTTGTCCAGGACACTCCTCATCTAGGTCTACAAGCATAATCTTCAGTTCAGTTCAGTCACTCAGTCGTGTCCGACTCTTTGCAACCCCATGAACCACAGCACGCCAGGCCTCCCTGTCCTTCACCAACTCCCGGAGTCCACCCAAACCCGTGTCCATCGAGTCGGTGATGCCATCCAACCATCTCATCCTCTGTCGTCCCCATCTCCTCCTGCCCTCAATCTTTCCCAGTATCAGGGTCTTTTCAAATGAGTCAGCTCTTCGCATCAGGTGGCCAAAGTATTGGAGTTTCAGCTTCAACATCAGTCCTACCAATGAACACCCAGGACTGGTCTCCTTTAGGATGGACTAATGTATTCTTTAATAGCTCTATTACATTCCAGATGGACTACATTGACTCAGTCACCCTATTAATAATGCATTGGACCAGTTTAGTGGAAGACAATTTTTCCATGGGGTGGGTGGGAGGGGTGTGTGCAGGGGAGGGGGGATGGGTTGGGGGAGGGGTGGCAAGGGGTGGTTCAGGCAGTAATGAGAGCAATGTGCACCAGCAGATGAAGCCTTCTTCGCTCCTCGCCAGTTCCTAACAGGTTTCTGGCCGGTATGGGTCTGCAGCCCAGGGTGTTGCAGAACCCTGTGTTAACGGGCATTTCCTGCTTGTGCATTTCCCCCCCAATATGGGCAAGGCTTTATGTAGCCTAATGCATAGATCTTTTTGTTTCTATGAAATATATTACAAAATAATAGAACTGCTAGGTCAAAGAGAATGTATATTTTTATTTATTTAATATATTTTAGCCAGCAGACACTTCCACAGTATTTACTATGTGTCAAGACACTTATAAACATTTCACAAATATCAACTCACAATTCTGTCAAGAGAATGCACTGGTCATAGCAAACACCCTCTTCCAACAACACAAGAGAAGACTCTACACATGGACATCACCAGATGGTCGACACCAAAATCAGACTGATTATATTCTTTGCAGCCAAAGATGGAGAAGCTCTATACAGTCAGCAAAAACAAGACCGGGAGCTGACTGTGGCTCGGATCATGAGCTCCTTATTGCCAAATTCAGGTTGAAATTGAAGAAAATAGAGAAAACCACTAGACCATTCAGGTATGACCCAAATCAAATCCCTTATGACTATACAGTGTAAGTGAGAAATAGATTTAAGGGACTAGATCTGATGGACAGAGTGCCTGATGAATTACTGATGGAGGTTCGTGACATTGTACAGGAGACAGGAATCAAGACCATCCCCAAGAAAACGAAATGCAAAAAAGCAAAATGACTGTCTGAGGAGGTCTTACAAATAGCTGTGAAAAGAAGGGAAGCGAAAAGCAAAGGAGAAATGGAAAGATATTCCCATTTGAATACAGAGTTCCAAAGAATAGCAAGGAGAGATAAGAAAGCCTTCCTCAGTGATCAATGCAAAGAAATAGAGGAAAACAATAGAATGGGTAAGACTAGAGATCTCTTCAAGAAAATCAGATACCAAGGGAACATTTCATGCAAAGATGGGCTCAATAAAGGACAGAAATGGTTGGGACCTAACAGAAACAGAAGATATTAAGAAGAGGTGGCAAGAATACACAGAAGAACTGTACAAAAAAGATCTTCACGAGCCAGATAATCATGATGGTGTGATCGCTCACCTAGAGCCAGACATCCTGGAATGTGAAGTTAAGTGGGCCTTAGGAACCATCACTATGAACAAAGCTAATGGAGATGATGGAATTCCAGTTGAGCTATTTCAAATCCTGAAAGATGACGCTGTGAAAGTTCTGCACTCAATGTGCCAGCAAATTTGGAAAACTCAGCAGTGGCCACAGGACTGGAAAAGGTCAGTTTTCACTCCAATTCCAAAGAAAGGCAATGCCAAAGAATGCTCAAACTAAGCACAATTGCACTCATCTCACATGCCAGTAAAGTAACGCTCAAAATTCTCCAATCCAGGCTTCAGCAATACGTGAACCGAGAACTTCCAGATGTACAAGCTGGTTTTAGAAAAGGCAGAGGAACCAGAGATCAAATTGCCAACATCCGCTGGATCATTGAAAAAGCAAGAGAGTTCCAGAAAAACATCTATTTCTGCTTTATTGACTATGCCAAAGCCTTTGACTGTGTGGATCACAATAAACTGTGGAAAATTCTGAAAGAGATGGGAATACCAGACCACATGACCTGCCTCTTGAGAAACCTGTATGCAGGTCAGGAAGCAACAGTTAGAACTGGACATACAACAACAGACTGATTCCAAATAGGAAAAGGAGTACATCAAGGCTGTATATTGTCACCCTGCTTATTTAACTTATATGTGGAGTACATCATGAGAAACGCTGGGCTGGATGAAGCACAAGCTGGAATCAAGATTGCTGGGAGAAATATCAATAACCTCAGATATGCAGATGACACCACCTTTATGGCAGAAAGTGAAGAAGAACTACAGAGCCTCTTGATGAAAGTGAAAGAGTGAAAAAGTTGGCTTAAAGCCCAACATTCAGAAAACTAAGATCAAGGCATCTGGTCCCATCACTTCATGGCAAATGGATGGGGAAACAGTGGAAGCAGTGTCAAACTATTTTTGGGGGCTCCAAAATCACTTCAGATGGTGATTGCAGCCATGAAATTAAAAGACCCTTTCTCCTTAGAAGGAAAGTTATGACCAACCTAGACAGCATATTAAAAAGCAGAGACATTGCTTTGCCAACAAAGGTCTGTCTAGTCAAGGCTATGGTTTTTCCAGTGGTCATGTATGGATGTGAGAGTTGGACAACAAAGAAAGCAGAGTGCCAAAGAATTGATGCTTTTGAACTGTGGTGTTGGAGAAGACTCTTGAGAGTCCCTTGGACTGCAAGGAGATCCAACCAGTCCACCTTACAGGAGATCAGTCCTGGGTGTTCATTGGAAGGACTGATGTTGAAGCTGAAACTCCAATATTTTGGCCACATGATGCGAAGAGCTGACTCATTTGAAAAGACCCTGATGCTGGGAAAGATTGAGAGCAGGAGAAGGGGACGACAGAGGATGACTTGGTTGGATGGCATCACCGACTCGATGGACATGGGTTTGGGTGGACTCTGGGAGTTGGTGATGGATGGGGAGGCCTGGTGTGCTGTGGTTCATGGGGTCGCAAAGAGTCGCAGACGACTGAGTGACTGAACTGAACTGAACTGAACTGAATCCTTATAACAACCCTATGGAGTGGGAATTATCATTGTTCCCATTTTAAGGATGGAGAAACTAAGCATGAGGTACAATAACTTGTTCAAGGTCACACAATTAGAAAGTGATAAAGAGTCCAGAAGCAAATTGTAGTAGGCAGAATAATGGTGTGCATTCAAGTACTAATTCCTGGAACCTGAATATGACACCTCACATGGCAAGAAGGGCTCCCCTGATAGCACAGTTGGTAAAGAATCCGCCTGCAAAGCAGGAGACCCCAGTTCAATTTCTGGGTTAGGAAGATCCGCTGGAGAAAGGATGGGCTACTCACTCCAGTATTCTGACCTGCAGAATTCCATGGACTGTATAGGCCATGGGATCGCAGAGTTGGACTTGACTGAGCGACTTTCACTTCATTTCACATGGCAAAAAGGACTTGACAGGTGTGATTACATTAAGGATCTTGAGATGGGAAGATTATCTTGAATTATCTGGTGGGCCCAATGTAATCACAGGAGACCTCAGAGGGGGAAGAGGAGAGAGGCAGGAGAGTGAGAAAGGGAGAGGAAGCGGAAGTCACAGTGATACTGTCCTGGTGTCTTTGAAGGTGGCAGGGGATCATGAAGTACAGAATGCAGGCAGGGACTTCCCTGGAGGTCTAGTGGCTAAGACTCTGCCTTCCAAATGCAGGGTCCAGGCTTCGATCCCTGGTCAGGGAACTAGATTCCACATGCCAAAACTAAACATTCCATGTGCTGCAACTAAGACTGGGAGCACTCAAATAAATAAATAAACAATATTTTTTTTTTAAAAAAGAAAAGAATGCAG